TGTATTGTGTAATAGTTATAAAGTATTACTGTAGAAACTTTCAAAATTGTGACCAAGTGACAGATTGATCTAATGGTTTCCATTTCAAATTGCAAATGACTGCTTTGATTGCATTCAATAGACATAAACATGATGCTCTAGCTTTAATAATAGTAATAAATGTCACATAAAATTATTATTATGCATACCAGTAAATTAATGTAAAATTGTTTTATTATTTTAATTTTGTCTCCACTAGTTCGAATCAGTGCTGTTATATCTCCACCTCCAAATGATAAAAAAATGGTCTTTGAAATTACTGGGTTCTCTCATCACAAGAAATCAAATTCTGAGTGTATCAGTAAAGAATTTTACAGTGCTAAGGGATATAAGTTTGTACTGATGGTCTATCCTAATGGTAGGAGTCACTTCCAAGGAAGAAGTGTATCCATTTTTGCTCACATATCTATGGGAGAGTATGACAATGGATTACTATTTCCGTTTCGTGGAAAGATAATTGTTCAAATTGTTAATCGACTTGATACTCTCAGGTATCATGTAGAGAAGACGATTGAGTTTACTGATAAGACTGATCCTGAAGAAAGGTTTGGTGCTAGAGTAACTGGCCTTACTAGATTTATTGGTTCGGGACATTCTTATCAAGGCTTTGGATACCATGATATGCTGCCTCATGAGTTTTTGTTTAACCCGAAACCCAAGACACAATACCGGTACCTGAAGGATGACAGCTTGATAGTTAGAGTAACAAAAATAGAAGATTATAATGTGTAATGTTTTAAAAGGAATTGTTATTATTATCATTATTATTTTTATTATTATCTTCTAACCCTCTAACAAAACTCCACTCCCTCTCTTCCTTTTCTTTTCTCTCCCTTTATTTTATTTTATTTCTTTCTTTCCTGTCATTCCTCTCTCTCCTCCGAGTCTTTTTGTTTTGTTATTGTTGTTGTTAATTATTTGTTTGTTTTTGTTGTTATGGTTACTGTTGTTATCTTTTTTATACAATAATAATAATAATTATTATTATTATTGTTATTATTATCATTCTTATTATTATCTTTGTTACATTATTTTTTGCAACACTATAAGTGAAACCTTGCATGCATGTGTAAGTCTTGCTATGCATTTAGTTTTTAGAATTGAATGGAATGAACATTATAAATTTTGAGGGTTGAGCATGTAGTCATGTGCTGCTGTACTAGCCACCATCGATACTATGAGCCACCGTAAATATGCCACCACCTGATCTCTGTTTTCCATGGAAACCTTACATTGGCTGTTCATAGTTCTCTGAATGCACGTAATGTGAATTTGGCATTGCCATGCATTATGATAATGTCGTCATTCACAGAACTCTGAGAGTCCAGTGGTGTGCTGGCTGCTACATGTTCAGTACAGATTATAAAGCCATCACTTAGCTCCCTACACTCTCTGGCACTAACAGAAGATAAGGGAACCTATAGCTGGTGACTAGTCATGAAGCCTTTCTGCAACTGATTTGTGCTCTTGTGTTAGCAATAAAATGTCTCTGAAATTACATCTGAAGGTATATGATTAAATCATTTCCTTTACTAATTTATTTTTTATCTTAAAGATACTGACATTGAAGTTGCTGCTAATAATGCTAATTCACAGAGTGGTGGGGGAGTAGTGTACACTCGTTGGGGAAGGACAAGTTGTGGTAAAGCTTCAAAGATTTATGATGGACTAGCAGGAGGCACACACTAGAGTCATCCTGGCGGTGGAGCAAACTATGTGTGCTTACCTCACAGCCCACATTACAATAGTTACGGCTTGTTCCTACATGTATGGTGCCAAGTATCAATCGTACAATAAGATAATTATTTCCATTTCATAATCATGATCATGGCGTTCCCTGTGCAGTCTGCTACCAACCATTCAGAGGAGCACAACTGATGATCCCTGGTAAGATGTATTGTCCTTCAGGATGGAGCTTTGAATACAATGGATACTTGATGGCTGAATATCTTGATCATGCAAGGAGTGCTCAGTATGCATATGTTGATGGTAATCCAGAGTCTGTTCCTGGCAGTGGCCTCGAATATTGATGGTGCTCTCTTCTATTTTTTTGCTTCAACCTGTCACAGTCTACCTTGTCCACCGTATCAGAATAACAAACCTGTTACTTGTGTTGTGTGCACTAAGTAAAAATTGGACTGAGGTTAATGATATTCTTTTAATTTAATTTGCTACATTCCAATAGTTAGTTGGCTTGCATGTAATTAGTTCATGATCTTGTCATATTATTTTTTTCTTAAAATTAATAAATTCCAAAACTGAAATATTATTTGATTAGCTATGTACACCACAGCCAATTTAAAACATACATTGGCTAAAAAAGTTTATTTCCACTAGCTACATCACATAAATCTCATAATGCCTAACAAAAACTTCTTCATCGCCAGTAGACTGGTCAGTGCATAGTCTCAGCTCAATATAATCAGTAGTGCTAGCATTGTACTGCCTGTAGAACCATGGTAAGTATGGTGATGAACAACAATCTACTTCCAGTTTGGAGCAGCCTTGACCATCCCAGAGTGGATTATCATCTCCACTTTCACAGTAATAGTTGTCTCCAACAAATTTTGGGTGCTGTTGTGTGCTCCC